ATGGGCTGTCAGGTCTGGTTTGTGTCTGATGCTATCTATCCCTAGTTTTCTGCTAAGTTAATCTTTCCTAGGTTTTACTGTTTTCCTCAGGAAGTGTGTGCTCCAGTTTTAGCTACTCATGTGTGTTTGGTATGATAGGTTAAGAATAGTTTGTTATCAATACCACTCTAAGTAGTGGCATTCACTTGGAGTTTATAGATGTGCAGTATACGGAATTAGGCATGATGCCATAGCAATATACACATACCACTTGTGACATTAATTGAGGTACTTTTTTTCATGTTTAACAGGTTATAACAAGATAGAGCCAATATTGTACATTTCTACAGCCTGTGTACTTTTTCAAGTTCTGTGGGCTTTAAGACCTACTCCTTTGAAAGACTTCAATCCAGGAGATGATTTATTTGTTTGTATAACTGTAATCAGGCTTGCTTTATTTATCTCACCAGGGATTCCCAACCCTACCTTAATGCTGTTATTTGCCTGTATTTGAAGATTCAAATAATCACAATTGCTCCAATTTGGTTTTGTATAGCATATTTGCAATCAAAAGCCAAACACTTTTCCTCTTTTAATGTTATGACCTATAGATTTTTGGAAATCCAGTAACTTTGCAAAGCTCTTCAGCTTAAGTTTAGATTCTTTTTTTTTTTTAATTGGCTGTTTTTTTCTGTATCTACTGATTTGCTGTGTCTTTTGCTCAGCATTAATACACATCTCTATGGGAAAGGATTGGAGGATTACTCTGTAAAGGACAGAGTAAAGTGAGACAAGCTCTAAATATCAGCCAAATTTCTTTTGACCTAATTTTACCATTCCAAAAAATTCAAATGGGTCAATACAGATGACCAAGCAGATATAAAGCATAAGAAAATAATGAAATACTCTCTGATTTGGTGTGCCCTGAGCTCTGGAGTTCCTAATTTGTCTGAAGGCTATGCACATTTCCACTGTGCTTGTTCAGTGTCTGGACCACTGTTAAATGTTATGACCTGAGTCAAATCTTATATTACTTGAAGCTTTGGTGGCTGCAGAGGATAGATAAAACACAAAACTCATGCTGTAAAAGCAAGTGCATCCAATTGCCATCTATGGAATAATGAATATTTTTTCAAAAACCAACTTCACCACGGTAGTGGAGAATTACCTTAATTGTTTCAGGCCCAAGCCAATAAATACTCTTTGTCAAAACAATTTGATAAAGTTGTCATGAAGTTCCTCCCTTTACAGGCTTCTCTCAAATGATTTCTCTGGATTACGCTTATCAGTATCTCCGATGTCTCTGTTGGCTTCCCTCTCCCACACCCTTCATAGTGCCAAGTGCTAAGGGCTGCCAGGCTGGTCACTGCAGTTTGCAGTGCCTTTGCATGGGCACTTGCTTTGGAATTATTGCATTTTGTAGCACAGTCCATGAGGCTGCACTTGTCGTTTCATTATGTAAATTAATTTTGATGTTGCAATGTAGTTTCTGCTGTTCTTCATTCTGCAACTGTCTTGACAACAGATTTGCATAATCATTGAGTAGGAATTTGTTTTTAATTTTGATGTTCCGATTAGCTTGATTCAGATAAATAATAGAAAGTTGTGAAGATAACACAACATGGCATGAACTGGTGAAAATTATTGTAAACACAACAAATAAGACAAATAAGACAAACAATGGAGTCAGGTTCAGTGATTATTTTTATAAAGTGTAAGCAGATACTATATCTGGTTTCTGTCTTCTTGCACTGTGACAGCTGCTTGAAATCTAAACATATGGATTTATTCAAATATTAGTCACTCTCACTGCTTCCTAAACAAATAGAAGGAAACTTATTCATTTGTTTTCTGCCATAGATCCTTGATACAGAGGGATAGCAGACTCACAACTCCTACTTGAATTCTTCTTTTCTTCTTTCATTCCAAAGGCAACTCTGTGGACCTAAACCTTTGTCATCACACGAGGGAATACCTATCACAGCTCCTGGTTAAACTTAATGTAGAGGATAATTTTTGAAGCAGTAATTGTTTGTCTCTTCAAAAATTCCACTTCCCCACCTTTTGTCTCCTTCCTTGCATTCCTAAATTCTGATGGCACCTGATAGAAGATGATTCAGTAAGAAATAGTACAATTAAATCAAGCGACTAATGAAATTACTGTTCATGTATTTTAACCATTTTTATACATTAGAAACACAAGATTATTTCTTTCCTAAGTGATTCAGGAGTAAAATAGACACAACTTCCCTTTTCCAGTCATCTCTGCAGGGCAAGATTTAAATAATGTGGGAGTGAAACCAGAAAATATTAATTTCTATGTTTTAGGAACAGCAGTTTCCTCAATAAGGGTCCAGAATGATAGTGAGAGACTCCTTAAGAGACTTTAGGGCATTTACTAGAGTAGCAGTTAGTATAATAGGACTGAAAGAGATGAGTAGGGGATGAGTCATGAAGTATGCTACAAAATGAAAGAAAGAGAAAAAGGGAGAAGAAAACAGAAAGGAATAAGTAGGAATGGTAAATAAATGACATAGTGAAGAGTAGAAAAGTATGTTTTGGAGACCAGACTCATGAATAAAAAACAATTTTCTGTAGACAGAGTAGTTGTGACAAAAGGGTGTTTGTTGAGGAAATGCAGAAGCATCTGGAAAAGTTGTTAACCAGACCGATTAACTGAAGGAATACAAACTTTAGAAAAAAAATCTGAGAAGATATGCAGTCAAGACAGTTGAAGGGGAAAAAAGCAAAATGATATTTACTTTTTAAGCATTTTGGTAAAATAGGCTTGGGAGCATTTCTGTATTTGGTTGGCTTGGGATAGCATGCACAAGAGAGCTGGAGAGATGGTTTTTTGCACCCCTACTAGAGTAAAAGAACATAGTAAGCTACACTTTTTTCTCTAGGAAAAGGCAAGCAACAACATAGACAGTCCAGGGGTATTTGCTCCCAAGTCCTTGGTTCTTATATTTTCTTAGCAACATTATGTGGACAGCTACATCTGCTTACTAGGTGGGTAAAAGAAATGCCCGTGTTGGGTCATGGCAAAGAACATGTCTGACCTGCCTCACCTGGGATGGTGGGAAGGGAATGGCTGGATGAAAAGCTATGCTAAGCACCAAAATGTGCATTGGCATGATCGAATCAAGTAACTTTAAAAATACAGTGGAATAGAATAGCTGTTGAAGCTTTTGCTTTTATTTTGAAAGTAAACATAATGCTCAGTTTGATTTTCTTTCATATTTTAAACTATCAAAATTTCTCAGGGCTTGCATGCTTTGATAGAACCATGCTGGCATGGCAAATACTGTACCACTTTGATTTTTCATTCTTCAACAATTTAGTAATATTTCTGTTACAATCCGTTCTGCATTAAGGGTATTATTTTATGCAAACAAGAATGGGATTTGAATAATAACTCTTGGAAAGCTGATCAACGGTCTCTTCAGCTTTTCAGACAATTGATTCTTCTAGATGAGAGAAATGCTCTCTGTGAAGTAAGTGTATATGAAATAGGTGATTATTGCTAGGTGATTTTTAATAGTCCTATCTTCAAACAACAGTGAAGAAGAAATTTCCGCGTACTACAAAAATGTGTAGAGAATATTATTAACTATTGATTATTAATTCACTGTTGAAATTCAGTGAGCAGTGATGCTTTGGTCTTTACATCAGACTTTTGATGGTATTCTTGTACTCTGTATAGTCCCCTCTTCCATTTCAGTTATGTGTTACCTTCCTTCAGAGATTTGAAAAGTGTAATGCCTTCATTTACCCTTGGCTTCGTGGTTAGAGGTTTTAAGTAGCAGGTGGAATGAAGACTTCTGAATCCTACTCTACTTCTACTACTTCTTCCTTTTTCTCAAATACCAAGTTCTTCAGTGACCCTTGGTGGACATAAGTCATGAGTTGTAATTTCCATTGCTGCTCTGTCAGTAAAAACTTTGCTGTGTAGTTATGCAAGGGACTCTCTCCCGTACCTCTGCAATACAGAGATCATTTTTGGAAAAAAAAAAAAAAGAGGGAGAAAGAGATAATGGATGCATTTGTGTGGATACAGGAATGATTTAAGAAGTGGATTCTCAAAATATTTCTCCTTCAGCCTCCAACAAACCCAAAGAAAAGGTGTAGGAGAGTTTTTTTTCTGTTTACTCACGAAAATGGCATAATGTAACTATGACCGAAACGAAAGGGCAGCAACATCTGGCAAATTTGCAACAAACATAGTTCCCTAAAAGTATTTCAGTTTTTTATTTGATAAAACTAGTGCTACAATATGCGGGAAATGTAACTCTTTAAGAAATTGTGGGGATTTTACTTGCAGTGGTTTTTTGGTTTTACTTCTCTTTTTTTTTTCTTTTTTTTAATTAAATCTCTGTGTATAAAATCAAAACCCCTTCATAAGTACCTTTATAAACTCTGTGGATAAATCTTGTCTGGTAGGACTGGTTTGGTTTCCTTGACAGAATGAAAGGAAACCCATTCAGTTAGTAGTGGGATTTTTAGTACAGCTTTTGTCCAAAATTACTTGAGTTTCCCTTCTGCACATCATTAAATACAGAAATTAAGCTGTGCTCAGTCCATAACAGCATACCTTCAATTTATTTTATTTCACTACTGTGTGCTGTGATGTTGTCTGTTTTAATACAGAAGCTTTTGTCACCACATGATCATCTATGGAACTTTGCATCTGTTTCTCAGTAGTGCAAATTGTACTCGTTTTTGATCATATTCAAATAAGTTTAGTAAGATGCTACTAAGAAGTCTATGTGTACTATGTCGGCCTAAATTTTTTAGTGTATTTGGAAATGCCATTCCTGATAAACTGACTCATTCTATGAAGGAATGGGTAGGTGTCACCACAAAAATTTTAAATATGAATGCATTGAGAAAGGGAATAAAGAAAGCTTCCTTATATGGTGTTATGCTAATAGTTCTTGAACAAATGATATTTTTATGTGTTGAAATTCCTTCTTAATCTCAAGAGAAGTCAAAACAAATGGTTTAATTTATTTTTTCAGGAATTGCAGTTTGAGAGACTGACTCGAGAACTTGAGGCTGAACGTCAGATTGTAGCTAGCCAACTGGAGAGATGTAAACTTGGATCAGAAACTGGAAGCATGAGCAGCATTAGGTAATGTACGAATTGTTAATGTCTTTAGTAAATTTTGTCACTGTTATGGATTACCACCAAGAACAGATTTGATAATCTTTTTGTAAAAAACCAAAAATATACACCAGAGAGCATGAGATTTTAGTAGAGGTTGAAAATTTGCATTTTGACCTGCTTCATAGAAAGAAAATTTCATGCAATTTTTATCTTGTGTGTCCAGTAACAAAATAGTAGTCACATTTGGAATTTGTTGATTTGCTGAACTCTGAATGGATTATCAGCAAAACTCTCGTTTTTACCACCAATACAGCTGTAATTTTCAGCCAAAACTTTTTAGCTTCATATTTGCATGGATGTATTGATAACTTTTGTAAACCTGTTTAATCATAGTTTCATCATTCATGGTATTAAAAGGTTTAGAGTGAATTACTTAAAGCTGCTGACCCCACATCAAAATGTAATGATAAGATATGTATCACTCGTTTTTTTACGCATTGGTTTTCTTCAATATAAGAAATCATTCTGGTACATTATTTGGAGGATGGCAAGTTTATTTAAGAATTATAACAAAAGGAAACTAATCTCTTGGTCAGTTTAGTGAGACTTTGCGTTTTTGAGCTTCTTGATACTGTGTTTCTTCATTTTCTCAGTGAACCTAATAAATGAAAGATGGTGGTACTTGAGTTTCAAGGATCGAGGAAAAAGTCATGTTGTATAGACCTGTATTCTTTTTTTATCAGCGGAAATATAAAATGTGATATCTTTTGAATACATAATACAACACACCAAGCCTAGTGACAAGTTTTGTGTGATAATAGTAGAAAAAATACAAGAAGTATTGATCACTACTGTCTCTCAGTTTAAGCAATTCAAACTACACTTCAGTCAAATAAATGTTTGCTTTCCACAATAAGTAGAAAATAATTATTCAGTAGAATGCCAAAGATGGAGCAAAAATACTGAATGTAAGTTCAATTAAAATAGCAGAAGTCAGAAAAATCTTTCACTAGTTCAGCAGAAGCTGTACATGAAGTTGACTTTAATATAAGCATCCTTAATAAATCAGGTGAGAACTCAAGATAAAATCTTATTTTATATGATCTTTCTCACCATCTAGACTTTTTAACATTAGAGAAACTATATTACTTAGACTGATTTAAGCACAGAATAGCTAATATTTCGCAGTGCAGTACAGTACTATATTTGCATGTCAGGTGCGTTTCCTGAGGACTTTAAATTTTATGTATGGTATGACTACATTTCAAGAAAACTATGTCTGAACAATGTTTGAGTGATACTGAGCTATGTTTAAATAATGCTGTTATTTTAGGATTATTCCAGGCAGTGATACAGATGCTCGGACATTTCTTGTTGGGAAGGAAATGTTTTCTTGTTGAACTTATTGATAAACTTCTTATTGATAAAGCTATACTTTCAAGGTATTGGTGATATCAAGGTCACTGAGCTGACTCTGATTGAGGTCTGACACTCCAATTGTTCAAGAAGTTTAATAATTTGACTGCTAATCTGTCTGTGGAATAAACTAGTACCTGGAATAACAGAGTGGATTTCATGCAATTTTTGCATCTGTAATTTGCCCCAGAAATGTTTTACTTTTGAGCAGGTAATTTCTAGCATTTCAACTAAAGACATTTTAAGAAATACTTGAAATACTGTGGTTCAGAAGAGAACATTGAAAGCTTACAATTAGCTAAAGAGAAATCAGTAATTAACTAATATTGTTTGGGTTGAGTTGTTTATCCCATACATATTAAATGAGCAATTTTCTGTCCTAAAAATTGTAAATAATTATGGTAGGAGCGTAGAACTAACTCAAACATTAAGTGAAGTCAAATATCTGTCTGACTGCTGTACTGACTTGCCAGTGCTCATCCGGATTGGAGAATGTTTCTTTGACATTGTATTCTTTGACATATCTTTGATCTGAAATATTTTTTAGAGGATTGGGGACTACACTCACTAGGAATTGTACCAAAAAGGACTAGAGTACATTCTTTTCAGGAACAGGTTCTTGGCTGTGAACCAAAGCCAAAATCAATAGCTTCTGATAAAGCTAAAATGCTTAGACCATGAAGTAGGACAACTCTTCCCTTCCACAGTGTTTCTCTGTTGTCAGACTTTGAGCAGATTGTTACTCACCCTGCTGAGTATTAAAATTTCATCACACATTCCATAAGGAGCCAAGTCACGTTCTATACTGCTCTATTCCTTTGGCTGAGGTATGTATTCCTTCAGGGCCAGATTTATCAGTATGTCAGTTGCTCTAGTACGGGGGGCAGTTAGATCTCAGCATATCTTTAGAGATCTTCAGTCTCTGATAATTTTAAGAACTGTATTAAAGAACTGTACTTAGTTGTTAATAAATCCTTAAAACTTTAAAGTTTGTTTCATATGCTAATCACTGTTTTATGTGAGCAGTATATGTTTGTCTATAGACTGGCATTTGTGCACGAGTGCGTGAAGCAACAAGCAGAGTTTCTGTACTTTGCAGTATTGCAAAAATATAATATAATAAACTGAAGAACATGGAAAGCATACCTGCTTTGAATACACTTTCTTCAGTGTTGTTCTCGCTCTTAGAAATGCATATGTTATTCACTCTTTATTACCAGGAAACTGATATTTTCCTAAGGAAGATACAATTTTTACAAATGCACTGAAGAAAAGTACAGCAAGTCTAATTGATCTTTCATTTCAAGAAAATTGAAGAAATAGATGGTATGCACTGTGATATAGGTAGACAGTTGGTCAAGTAAATAAAATTACAATTACAGTTTTTCTGTACAGCTGTCAGTGTTAGATCTTAGGCTACTTACTGTACAAGCATGTATAGTAGTCTTTGTAGATATTTAATATTAGGGATTGATGAATCCAGTAGCCAAGGGAGGTGAGGCTGTCACAGCCTAGACCTGAATAGACTGGAGAAGTGGTCTTTTATCATGTATGAAAATGCCAAGTGTAGTCTTTTTGTACTTACCTTCTTATATATAAACCAGTAGCGTGGCTATGTTTAAAAGGATTTTTAAAAGTGATGTTTTTTAAGAAGATGGGCATTTCACCAGTAGGCAGAGAAGATTTTTATTAAACTTATGACAGCAAATGCTGTAGCTCAAAATTCATCTCATTCTGCAATGTGTGTTTGCTTAGTAGTTCAGAAGCTTGGTAAGCTTTAAGTTTTGTCACACACTGAAGCTGATCACTGTGGATTGTGTAAGGTTTAACAAGTCACGCTTCGATGAACTTTTGTCAACTGAATTAATAAAAAAGTTTGTCTGAAATAAAATGAAAACCAGCAATAGAAGCATGCAGGTTTTTGAAAATGTAAGTTTCTGAAAACATTCCTCGTGAATTCTACAGATCTGAATGTGGTAAGACAGTGTTTAATAGTGGGTTTCCCGTGCCTCCACCCTGTTATCTCACTGTGATTTTATGTTACTGTAAGTGACCAGGTCAGGTGGAACCCTTCAGAAAGATGCAGAGATTGTTCCGCTCCTGAAGAGAGTTTTGTCAGTGTTAAGCACGTTACTGCTTGATATATTTCCAGATCTTGTATAGAGCTTCTCACATGTAATTAGGCTTGTGGTAAAACAGAATATCCTGGTAAAAATATGTTGTAGATTTCAAGGTAGTAGAAGTAAAAAAGTCCCTGCCATTCTTGACTATGAAACCTATTTTCGGTTATAATGCTATTAATGCCAACATGAAAATTAAATTAGCTGGAAGGAAACATTCAATTAGAACAAAATGGTGGGAAAATGTGTAAGAGTTTGTTATATCAGAATGTTTTCATTGAAGTGTTTGGATTATTTGCATTCTTTGCTATATCTAGAAGGCATAAGTTCAAAAAAATACCTTTAAAAAACACCATCACCACCAAAAATAAAAAAAGACAACAGAAGAAAGTCAGCAATGTTTCCTTAGAAAAAAGTTTAAAAGATGGTATTTTTCTTACATTCAAAATTATTAAGGAGTTAATATGGATAATCTCTGAAGAAAAGAAACTGAAACAACCTTTGTCAGACCATAACTAAGAATGAAAAAATGTAGTTTAAATGCTTAACCACTCTGATAGGTTTGGTTTGGTCAGGGGGAGGAGGGTTGTTTGGGGATTTTTTAAATTTTTTTCCATGTCAGTTTTTGGCCTATAGCTTAGCTAAGTTATTTAGGGATCCTTCCCCATACCATTAATCTTCTATAATGATCAAATTACCAAAAATTGTTGGTGGCTTGCTAGGTGTTGAGTTGCTAGGGTTGCTAGCTGATGGATGTTAGTCACTGTGCTAATATGTGTCCATGTAGGTAATAGCTTGGAACCCAGCACTTCTGAAAATCAGGCTACTGATTTACATGCTCAAACACAGCATTTAGGCACTTCTCATGATGGGAAGCAGAGGGGCAGGCACCAATCTCCTCACTCTTGTGACAGTGACAATTGGAGGAAACAAATGAAGCTGTGTCAGGGGAGGTTTGTGTTGGGTATCAGGAAAAGGTTCTTCCCCCCCAGGGTGGCTGGGCACTGGAACAGGCTCCCCAGGGAAGTGGTCCCAGCACCAAGCCTGACAACGTTCCAGGAACATTTGGACAACATTCTCAGGCACATGGTGTGATTCTTGGGATGTCCTGCACAGGGCCAAGAGTTGGACTCGATGGTCATGATGGGCCCCTTCCATCTCAGGATATTCTATGATTCTGAAATCTTGGAAATCAGAGTTTTGTGGGGTACAGTAAGTTGTCCAGAAGTATAATGGGCAGATTCTTCTTGTTGTGATAGTTGTTACAGTTTACCAAGCCTGATTTTCTACACTGGTTTGACATCAATAGTTGATGTTCCTGGTGTTGTGTGTACCAGCACATGTAAGAGTGTTCGGGTCAGTGAAAATGTTTTAGAAGTCAGGGATATACTGAGGTTAGTATTTTCACTACTGCAGCATCACCTTGTATTTTGTATCTCTTGATCTTTGGGTTGTGAGGTGTAGAGACCTGAGAGGTGATGAACTCTG